GCAACAGTCATCACACCATCAACACAAAAGGTGAAGAAGAACTTAAGTTAAAGGTGACCTTTTCTTTTCTTTTGATTTATACATTTAGTAAGAAATTACTTATTCATCCTTCAGCCAGCTTCTGTGTGTAGTTTTTAATTTAGAGGTGATTTTACATGGTTTAAAGGGATAGTACACACATTCATATTTTACATTGATGTAAAACCAGGTGTTGTCCCTGTGGTTACTGCACTGCAACTTGTGTTCTTGGTGATGACCATAAACTGACCGTGACATCACGAGATTTGGTGGCAATTTTTGTAAAAGTGATTAACGATCACTTCAGCCTGGCTCAGATTACAGGATAATCGGGCTGATTTGAGCTGCGATTCCCCCGTCCCGACAATCTAGGTGGGTGTTCCTGACTCGAGGCTGAACCAACTATCTGCCCCGATTATTGTGTAGCAGGAGTGGTATAAAGATCCAATCTTAACCTCCCTGATCTGCTCAGAGTGCATTGGCGGCTGCCCCGATAAATATCAAACATGTTTGAGATTAAGATTTAAAATCTTAACGATTACGTCATGAAAGGCTCAGGTGTAAGCTTGTGTGATTACAATAACCGCGAGAGACAAGGGAGGGTAGTAGTAATGGCGACAGGCAACAAAATGCAACCCGTACGGGTCTGATGGACTTCTCAGATGTACATAAAAGTTAAAATCTTACCTCCAGCTTTGTTTGAAGAACTGACAGTCCATGAAGTCCGCCTCTCCCCAGTCAAGTTATGTCTTTTCTGTATATGAAGTCTCTTGTTTGATTCAATGCTTTGCTTTGGCCAACACAGATCTGTCTCAAATTGTTTCACTAGTTTGCTCGACCCCTCACACAGGAAAATTTTACTGCTCAAGGCTTTCTCTTCTGCATCTCGGGAGACAAAATTCTGATTCTCATTCCAGCCTCTTTCAAGTTTCAAATATTTCTCATTCATTTCTTTTTTTGTTTCTCCTAAAATTCACTAGGAGAAATGGTTGAGACTATAGCCACAGGAGTCTTATTTGAGACTTAAAGCAGATATCTTGTTAATGGCTCATTTTCATCTCTAAAGGAGAAAATAATGAGACAAAGAGAGACTGTGATGAGCCTACTAAAATTAAGCAGCCTTACAAATTCCAACCTACATAAACATCAAATGATCAACATTTGTTTCAATAAAAACAAACAACTTGATATGTTATAACAAATACTTCCGTTATTAAAACAGCTGATTAGGAAGCAAGTCTTCATTTTCATCATCAACCAATACTGATGCTTCTATAAAGAACAGGTTTCAGCTGGGTGACCAACAAAACTAAAACAGACAATCAGCAAGTTTGCCCTTTTTTGTTACTTTTAGTTACTGTTCCTGTTATGTGCACAAAATCTATGCAGACTGAAAGTTCTTCATATAAGCTTTAACCTAGACTCTTTGCAGAAACACCTACTTTTAGAACAGTATCTGGTGATGGGAAAACAATCCACAACATGAACAATTTCCAGTCCTTTACCTCAAGCAGCATTTCTTAATTACCGGTAGATGGTCTCAAAATGTCCATTCAATGTGCCACATTTAAGCCCTTAGCCCTCTTGTGACACTTGTTTATAAGGGCTTTCTTGGCCTTTGCTTTCTCCACTGGTGTCCACCCTTTCCATGTGCCAGAGTGCATGACGTAAGCTGCAAAAATAAAAGAAAGCACAAATCACCAAAAAATAATTACAGATTAATACAGTAACAGTGTTCTTCATGGAGTCAACTCATGGAGTTCATCAAGTTTTTAGTTGTTACCAAAGAGACAATCAACATCCAGTCTTTGGAGTTTCCTCATTTTAACTTCATATCTTGTGCCTTTCAAATTACCGCTGACTTCTGACTAAATGGTGCAGAGAGCAACAGGTGAAATAGCTATAGGCCATCAGATTTAATTGATAAAATCAGTAATTTTTACCTTGTGAAATTATGTCTGTGGCTAAATTAAAAGAAACCTATTTCTCTAACGAGTACATCTTTGGACTGTGGGAGAAAGCCGGAGTGCATGGACATGCACGCATTGGGAGAACATGCAAACTCCACACAGGAAAAGGCCTGTTCAACGGGCATTTTAGAAGGAAATTTCTTGCTGTGAGGCTACAGTGCTAACCACTGCACGACTGTGCAACCTTGTAAAATATAAGACATTTTTAAAATACAGACAGAGAGCAGAATAAACAGCATATACTTCTGGATTATAAATATACTAATAATAATATTTTATTCTCACATTACTTGTTTCATTTTTCAATTCATTGCAATAAACGGTGTGTCAAATTTTGGTATATGTTCAGAGCTCCTTTCTAATTTGCAGGATGAAAATAAAAAATGAGAGCATTTATAAGTTTTGGGTGTCCAGCTGGTCAATTTTTAGTTCACTGCTGTCATAACAAAGTTCAAAATTCTGGTATCCTTACTCTAGTATGCACACTGACAAAAGGGTCAAAATGAGTGACATACTTACTTAAAATCCCATTTACTTTTGACTTCTCCAAGACTGTCTTCCCCTCTGGCACTTTTCCATGTTTCCCAAATGCCACTGCATTTTGGCACTCCTCTGATGGTGCCTCTGTTGGTGTTGGTGACCAACACCAACTCTAGGTCGTAGTTGCTCAATACTCTCCAAAAAGCATTAAGTTGGTCACCACCTATAACAGACAAGGTGAATTATTTAGATAGTGGCATTCAGAGTTAAGAAAAAGAAGGAAATAGTTTTGAATTTGATACAGGACATAATTTATTGATTTATATATTAGGGCAGGGTAATGCCAACTAAGGTCTAACATCAAGATCCCTCCTGGATGAAACACTGTTAAATGTTGAGCAGTGAAATAACAATATAGTTACGATCTTGGTCATCTTTTGGTGAGCCAGGAGCTGGTTCATCAAATCTCTCAGGTGGGTTGTTGGCTCGTTTGGGAACCTTTGTTTTTAAGGTTGCTCTGCATGGCATTGCATCCTGAAATACAGTACACAGAAGTAAAACATTTATAAGTGGTTCCAAGTTTTTTGTACGACCATGCTGGTGATGCTGTTTACATCCCAAACAAACAGAATAACGAGGTAAGATTAGCCAAAATCAATGACTTTACGCTGTTTTATGATCTGTAATTTATTGAAGACAAACAAGTTTAGCTGTGAAATAACCTTTTGTTGTAATTGACTCAATCGGAGCTCTGAAACAACTGGGAAAAAAAACCTGTGGCGCCTTGCTGCTAATCGCTAGATAACCTAAGCAAGTTCATAGCCACGTGCTAAAGTAGCTAACTAACTTTGACACTCAGCACCTAAAGACAAAATTCCTCAATGAAGTATCAGAACCAACACAAAATCATAAGAAATATGCTGAATTGTACAAAACTGGACTCAATATATTTAACAAAGGTGTAACTTACTGTCTTTTTCGGGGTTCAGAGTTGCTCTTTTCCTGCATTCCTCCTCCGGGCTGCTTTCGCGCTCTCGGTGTCTTCCTTACGTCATAGGTCCGCCTTGAGAATTAAATTGACCAATCACAATTCGTTATGTACAATGGACAGCGCACTCATCCAATAACATCTTTGATTGCTGACACAACGTCCTCTTCACCTCAGGACTGCGTCTTGATGCGCCTGCGCAGTTCAGCTTCGGTGAGTGATTAATAATTGTACTGAAATTTTGTAATTCTCTACAGAAAATGTGTTTATGGTTACAGGAGATTTCCTCTGTAAGCAGTTTACAGAAATAAGAAATTGCAGCTAATGTGCGTTTAGTGTTAATAGTATTGTCTTGTGTGTCGAATGGTGAAGTTTAACAACCAAATTGATATTTATTAGCATGCTAATCGCTAATAGCTAATCATGAGTGAAACTGATGTTAATTAGCCACATGCTAAGTGAACTCTGGTTAGAAGCTTGTACAGTTGCTTTTGTATTAAACCTGCAGCTAGTAATTAATATAATGTAATCTAACCCCCTCCAGTCCCTATACACTATTTTTTTTCATGTGAGCCTCAGATAAAATGAACACTGAAAATGTACATAAATCACACATAAAGAACAGTAACAGCGTCAAAGGACACTGAATTACTGTTTACATGTTTGGTCTTACTGTCCTGCAAAGTCTTGGAGTGTAGTTGTCAAATTAGAAATAAAAAGTTCATCAGCAGGGAAAATTAGTTTTCATTTTTGAAATAATACAAAATTTACCTGCAGGCTTTCATTTGTGAACTTTAGCTTTGAAATCATGTCTGTATTAATGTCAGGAAACCTGATTTGTCCACATGTCAATGTCCACAGACCACTGTGTCTTTGGTGAACTCTAGGGATCTGGGTTGAGTCCAAATGCCCTTTTATCTTCATCAGTTAATTCAATTGTTTTACTTTATTTTTGCTATATTCCCTACTGAATAGAGGCTTGACAAATCACTGTATGTATTAACAGTGTGTGTGCCTTTTCTGTCATTCATACAGTTTCCCTGTCCTTGCAACCACGTTATCAAAGTTCATCATTGCTCCTTTATAGTTGGATAGAGCTTTTTGGCAGTGGGGAAAGTAATACACAATTTACCTCTATATTTTAATTTGGTGAGCTCAGAACTTTGATGTATAGAGTCACATATTAGACGGTTCTCTCTGTTACCATCATCAAAACACTAAAAGAGGAAACATGTTTTTGTTTTTTTTTAGAATGGTGTTTCCCACTCCTGTAGTATTCACAGATTTGGAGAATCAGTGCCAAGGCATATTGAAGCTGGTCTGGCTGCCTGTCGTAGCTCAACACCTCACTAAGACACTTAATGTTGAGTCTTTTTTACCTGCCTGTATATGTGTTTATGATTTACTTAAAAATAGAATAGTTCAAATATTCAGGAAATGTTTTGTAATTAAAGAAAGAGAGGCTTTTTGACTTTGAATTAAGGTACTTATTACTCCGGGTATTAATTGCTTATTTTTTGTCCATTGAAATTATTTCAGGGGAAGAGCTGGGGTTTGATCCATTGGAAAATGACACAAAGATATGACTCACGCTGGAGAGTTTTTGTGGTTATATGGTCAACTGTTATTTAAGGTCTACAGTTCAGTAGTTTCTTTGCCTTTGGCAGCATAATACTATGTAAGAATATAAGAATTTTGTGCTTTGTTTGAAATTACAGTTTTGTCAAGAATATACACAAACATGCCATTTTTTTCTGAGTGACTCTAGATAAAATTATTGCACTAGAAACACAACAGCCTATAAGTATGTTGTAAGTTGAATATCTTAACCTTATGATTCCTCTGTTTTCAGAAGGACACACAAAGAGTGGAGAACTCAGGTAACAACTGCTCTAACAAAAACACATTTTCTAAATACACAGACATATGAAGTTTTGTGAAAGTCAACAAAATAGGCTGTAAATTATTGATATGATTCAGAAGCAAACGATCAGTGAGTTGGTAAAGTATGACCACATACCCCTTCTATTGCATGTTAAGCAAACTGCAACTGAGAAGCATGCCTCCCAGAAATATTTAACAAGTTTTTTGAGGCAGCTATGTCTTCGCCTCTACCCTGTGTTGTCTGCACATATGCCTATTATATTGCTTATGGGGCTATGATTTGATAATGAAATTAATATCCAAAAATTCAAATATAATATCTTTTGAAACACATTCTTCGTCGCTCTATTAGTGTAGTAACTGGCTATGGGTTAAGATGGACAGAATTTCTATGAAAAATAAACACGTACAGACTAGTAAGCCACAAACTCATGAATATTGCCTTTGAACACTTGGTGTACATTTAACAAATTTGTAAAATGTTTTATATGATTTTGTTTTGTGTCTAGAATCAACAAACTGGAGGCCAGATGGTTGCTGCACAGAAGGACTAGAGTGCCATGCTACTCCTGAATCTGACTTTGCCCTTGAGGAACATCCATCAATCAGGAATTTGTGTGACGACAACAACAACCATACATTTTCCCAATGCTCTGAACACACAAAAGAGACACATCACGCTGGCCTTAATGAAGAATCAGAGAGTGAAGATCCTCTTCACATAGATACATTTGGTCACCCCCTACATGAGTTTGTTGAGGAGGGAACTTAAGATCATAACCAGTCATCTGATGATGACCTGTCCTTTGATGAAGACCTATTATGTGAAGACAGTGCAGAAGCGAACAACTTGGTTTAAAATGCCTTGGAAGTGTTTTTTTGGAAAGGACCAACATGTAAAATCAATTAAAATGAGCATGGTGTATCTGAGCAACTGGTCACGTGTTAATAATCCTGTCTATTTTCTTTTATTTTCATAACTGTATACTGTATAATAATGGGTTCTTAGAATTTTATTAAGAATTGACCTAGTTTTGGCCCATTTTCAAAACCTATTATGTGTCGGTGTCTGCCTGCTACAGCTTACTGCTCCCCAAGTCTCCATGTGTCTGTAGCTCATATTGTTAATATTCATAGGCCAATAGGTAGAAAGCTCACTCTGAAAAAGTAAAGCAGTTTGATTATGGTAAATATTTTCTTGCATACATACTATGTGCTGTGAATATTAAAAAAAGTGCAGATAACAGGACCATGCAAAATTAAATAGATAAAAGAGAATAAGTTAAAAGCCAGTTAGGTTGTCAGACCTATAAAAATAGGGCTTTGTTTTAAAATGTATTGCATTAAAATAGTACATTTTCATGACACCGATAAATCACAAGCAAAAGGCTCTTTTTTGCTCCATGTGAGATCAACATGACTCAAAAACTGAGTTTAAAAAAAAGTGAAGGGAGGTTAGATTGAGTAAATTGAGAGAGCTCTCCAAGTTCTCCACCTGAGCTCAAAAAGAGTCTCAAAACTTGAGGAAAATCCAAGAATCATTTCAGAACTTGATGAGATCTCCTTTGGAACTGAAAGGGAGACTAGGTTGAGAATTTGTGCAGCTATTTTATCTGGAGGCAAGGGTGAGAAGCTGGAGAAATAAGCCATTGTCTCATTTAGCTTTCACATGGATCTCAGTGTTGTCTAGGAGAAATAAATGAAACCTTTTTAAGATCTCTTTTCTAAAATTATTTTCCTCTGGGCTGGTGCTCTACCTCCTGCTTATTGAGACATGACGATTCAACAGCTTGTGATTAATCTCCCTTGTTCTCTCTTTCTATAGGAAATATGAATATAGTGTCTCTCTTAATTAGTACTTGATTGAAAGAAGAAAAGCGACTGAGTGAACACTGATTTTTATTCAAATTGTCACAACCAAGACACAAAAGAATCAGAAGAAGTTCATTTTGAGAATATTTTTTATCCTGCCTGCTGTGTCCTCTAGTTAATAATGTAAATTCCTCAAAAAAAAAACTTTACTGGCAGGAGGGAAGGTGTATAACACCATCATTACAAACTTGATGCATACCCACTGAACCGACAGGTCGTCTTCCATAGGTACAACTGAATGTTATTCTGTCATTATGAGGTGCATACAGCTTCTCTTCATTAGAGTGTGTGAAGCGAATATTGTATCTATTCATGGTTTCTCTGGTCACAGTGCAGGGCCCTGTAAGACATAACAGAAAAAAACAGCATTATGATTACCCTAAAGACTGCACAGCATACTGTTAATAATTACTGCTAGGTTTGGTTACAACATATTAGAGCCCGACCGATATGAGATATTTGATCTGTATAGATGGCTATAGATATAACCATTTGTTGCTTTGATCCCCCAAAGGCAGTTATCAAACACTTGTGGAAAAAGTATATAATGAAGAAAAGATGGTCACTTGTATGTGCGTCACCACTTGACACTCTGGAGAGTGATGATGCTTGTTGTAATCCATATAGCGCCCTCTGCTAGTGACAGAGAACTGCTAGTGTGATACAATGAATTTAAATGAAAGGTTAGTGACCGGTGAATAAATCTAGTAATATCGACGTATTTATGTGATACAGTTAGCCAATACCAATAGTCACTGAATATGCTAATATGGCCCGTTATTATCGGCTTGTGGATTAATCGGTCGGGCTCTACAAAATATAGTGATAGAAATCGAAGAACAATGGTTGGACCAATGTAAGAGAATAAAGAAGGTCAGTAACATATTCTGTTACAAAACTTAACATTTAGAGCACAAGTACGAGACACAAAACTGTCAAAACAGATAGCTAGTTAGATAGCTAACTAAAGTTAAAATATTGATATCTTGCGCCAGTAATGTGATGATTTCATCGCACAGGTCAGGATGAGGATATATCATATTTGAGCTATACAGAAGGAAATTCTGGAGGATAAAAACTTACTGAGGCATTTCATCTGTCCAGTCCATTCACCATTCTTGCAGGTTTTATAAGGTCTGCCATTCATGGTATATAAATGCTGACAGTCATACTCAACCCAGTCGTTGTGTCTGTACTTAGAGTGGGCACTGTTCTTGGTGTCTCCATTTGCAAGGGGTGGTGGTCTCCCACAGCCTTTAGGAGCTGAAGGAGCATAAGCAATAACAGAGAAAATGCAAGTTAATTACCATTTTATCCAATTATGACATATTTTCCTTTCAAATACCGATATCAGACTTAAATAGAAAGTGACAGAATATTTTGCAACTACATTTTGTGGCCTAAGGGTAGGGTGGCGGCACTCCGAGTTTGCATTATACTTGACACCTTAAAGTAGGCCATGGATCATCTTTTTTCAACATTTCCCCTTGGAGTAAAAAAGATAAAGAATAAGTTGACTTACGTCCGCATGTTGGGAACTGATCACTCCACTGTCCGCCAGCTAAACATTCAACCATCATGTTCCCTTGAAGAACGTGTCCGTGCTGATTGCTGGGACATTCGAAGTTGATTTTTTGTCCTTGTCTTACTTGGTTGTTCCGTGGTCGAGGCGGGGTGATGCGTATGCCGGGTGGTAACACTGTGAACTTGCATGTGTCTGTCATGAGGGAAAAAGCCTGTTAAATCCAAAGGTCTTTGACATATAAACTGTAGAATAAATATTCATTAAAAAATGCTTTTAACTGATTAGTCACATGTTAAAACGTAATTTCTGCAACAATATTTTCATTGTCATGGCAACACACAGTCCAACATTGAATGCCTAATAGTTAAGTTCAATGTACCACCCGCAACGTTAATATAACAAAAAAACATTACATCTTGATACAGGCAACGTAAAGTAAAATATGTACTTTTGTTGTGTTAATAAGGAATGGTGAGTATTTTGGTTAAAATAAATGGAACAAATATAGGATAGACAATGTTTTACCTAAGCTTCATGGGCCCACCAATGTGGATGGGTCCCAGAAAGCTTTTCCCTTTCCCCCCCTTTATGGGCAGCCTTGGACACTAATAAAGTTAGAACTTAACCAGTATCAATGTAGGGTTTAGTGTGGACTGCACCTTAACTTAAGACATAACTCACACACATCTGGCCGCTGTATTTGCTTATTAATTTTGACTACTTGAGTAACTTTTGTATAAAAGCAGCATCACACTCGAGGTAGAGATGTACTGATTATCAGCACTTCCATGTTTAATTTCCCAATCGGCCTGCGACTGAATTACAGAAGTGCTGATATTCAGTCCAACATCACTGCCTCTCATGTGATTGTTAAAAAGGTTGAACATGAAATCTGCCGTTGGAAAAGAAACACACACGAATTGGATTCACTTCACTATGGAAGTCAACGTACCAGTGCATGTTGGAAAGGCTTTATTCCACTGCCCATTTTGTAAACATTCGATGACTTCTGGCCCCTGCAGTGAGTATTGATCATCGCACTGGAACCGTAGATTATGTCCAACGTTATAGGTTTTATTTGCAATGATTGGTCCAGTTACAGTGAGACGGGGATCCATCTCGCCAACAGTACAAGTTATATCTGCAAAGAATAAAACAGATGTAATCAAATTAAAAACTAAGTTTCAGTGGACTTGGGGTTTTACATGCTTTATGTTTGTAATGTATGCAGTCATTTTAGTGTATTTAAACATGCTCTAGAATTAAGTATCACATAATTCTTTTTTGTACCTTCACAAGTAGGAAATGGATGGTCCCACTCCCCTTCATGACCACATATCAGCACTGAACTGCCGTTAAGATAAGTCCTAGGATCATCACAGCTGAACGTGAGGAAACGGTCAGGAAGTATGAGCTCTTGATTTTCATAAAAACCTTTTACTGTAATCCGTCCATCTGCCGGCGGATGCTCACAGCTCACAGCTGAGTGAACACAGGGAGGTAGATAAAGGGAAAGAAAAGAGAACGATTGATGAGGCATATTAGAGAAGTGGCCATTTTCTTCTTAAACGCTGTTGTGAGGTTGTAGTGCTGTATTTCAGGTTATTTGGTTTGACAACAGCTAACATTACCATTCAACCTCCTTTGAGCTAACATTAGCTCCTGACACCTTCCTTAATGTATTGTTGTCGCTGTACAATTTCAGACAAAATTTTTCATAGTGTCGGTTGTGCTGTGTACGCCGAGCCTAAGTCCTCATTTTTTTTCTTTTTTTTGTTACAATTTTGTTACTATCGTTTCCAAGACTTACGACCACATATTGGCACGTGATTGGTCCATCTGTCCAGCAAACATGTCCTTGTGTCTTCCTTGCTCACCATCTGATACCTGCAAAGTAATAAAACATTACTGGATTAAAACCATAAATTTGAGTATTTACCTATTTACCAAAGGGGTACAAACAATGTGTCAGGTAAATACTGCCATTTGTGCCCTCATATATCTTTTAAATATTGGAACCTCTCTGTGACACTATTGCTCAGGTGTTTGACAACATAATGTGTTAAATTTGGTTAAAAAATTATGGATATGGTTGTAATTACAATCTTACCATTTGTTTTCTAGTGTGTCTATGTGTTATCGTAGGTCCACATACCCTCTGTTACAAAAGTATTTGATCGTTGTTCCAAAAACAAAGTCTGCACCCTTGATTATTTCATAGTAGCCGTTGGGAGTATCATCAGGAAGTTCACATGGCTTTACTGAAAGAGAAGAAGAAGAGGACTCATCAAGTGAACATTTAAAGGTGAACGATATTGTAAACCTTTTTTTTCAAATACTGTATATATTCACAATAAATCGTAATATTGGAAATGTGTCAGTAATCTTTAAAAAACCTACTAAGAAAAATCAAAATTGAACGGATGTTTAAAAAATACATTGAAATAAAGCTTTTAAACAATTCACTTTTGTTGTAAGTTGACTACCCCGGTTACCAGGTCGCCCCAGGAGAACAAAAGAATCGACATTTAACTTACAGTAGCAGGTTCCTTCATGGACTGCTATCCAGCCACTTTCTGAGCACACATATCTGATGGGGGGACCTGATATATATCCTATTTCACAAGTAAAGCGAATCACATTTCCTTGCTGATATTCATCTTTTTTGGTGTTGTCTGAGACATGGGCGTGAGGAATATCTGGGAGCTGTGAACAGTCTGATGAGAGACAGAATGGAGGAACAAATTAGTTATTGGACATTTCTTTTCAACAGCTGCGTGCTACAGACGCAGAGTTTTCCCCAAACTGTAAGACCGTTAGATCTTTCACAACTGGGTAATAATACTTGAGACAATACAGTGCATATGTAAGTCAACCACACCTCCAATTAACACTAGTCCTTAAGATTATATCAAAAACATATAATCATCATTGCCGTTTTTGAATGCCCCTTTTCTGATCCACCCTCTCTCTTTTTAAGTTAAACGCTGCAAAGCAAGTATTTTAAAAAGTATGTCTTACCGTTCTGTGACAAGGAAACTTTAACATTCCCCCACAGCTGGAGAAACAAAAGGATAAGAGTCGATCGCATTTCAACCTACAGCCAAGCAGTGACACGCACAAGTGTAGCCTTTATGATAAGCTCTGTTTTCTCTGCTGAGTCCCTGTGTGTGTGTTCCCTCAGCTGCAGCACTGTGGGAGCACTGAGGGTTGCAACATTGAACTGCCCAGTGGGATTGCACAAGCCACATGAACACAACATGACGCATAGAAACACACAGCGATACTACACTATGCAGAAACTTTACTTAAATCTTCATTGTTGCAATCAAAACTGTGTGTTCCTTTCTGATTTTCTCGTTAAAAAATGCCAAGAGGTTTGCTTTGCAACTATTATATAAATGATGTAACCTCGTGTTTTAAAGGACACATGTCAGATAGCATTTATAATCAAATACATTAAATAACACTTTAACCAGATGGCACCAAAAGTTCAAGTTAAAAAGAAATGCTGAATGTTTGTTACATTTGTGTTTGCAAACATTAGGCTTCCAGTTGGCAAACAGATTTCAATATTACTGGAATAGAGCTGGTACAGGACAAAGTTCATTGGAAAAAAATCCCTCCATGGAGCAACCAGTCAATGAAGAAATTAGATTAAAAGTCACTGACTGAGCAAGCAAAAACAGTTTATGTCAACATGAATGATTCATGTTTAAAAAAAAGCAACGCTGCTGTGAACACATGAGACTGAATTCCTTCAAAAGACGTCACAGTAACTTGTTGTTCTCAGTCTGAGGACCTTAAAAGATGAAAAAGTACCAGTCTTAAAACAGTCTATGCAACTAAAACCTGACAGAGAAAATTTTACACAACTAAGAGTAAAGTATGAGCATCAAATTATAGTCGTGCCCTAACTATAAGCTTTATCAAAAAGGAATACTTTAAACAGGACATATGATCCCCCTTTTCAAACAGTCTCCTGTGGTCTAAATGAAACATCTGTGCTGTGCTTTGATGAAAATATAACACGAATCAAGCACCATAGGAGGTTTGTGACCCTGTATAAACCAGCTCTCTCAGAACGCTCCGTTTTGGTGTGTGTGTCTCTTTAAATGCAATGAGCCCCCCCTGAGTTTTCCCGGTTTACATCCCACCTCTGTAGCGAGAATAAAAATGGCGGACCTGTGCAAAAGTTTAGCTCTAGGCTGGGGGTGGAGATACAATGGAAGGGAGGGTATTTTTTCCCACTAGCCCACTGTGATGTCACAAGGAAAAAAAATATGAAATTTTTCTCTGTTGTTAGACTTATGCAGACCACAAACAAAGGACTGGATGGTTTTTTTTCACAATTAACGTGTGAAAAATTAGATTTCTAGATGAAAGTCTTAATGTTACAAGATAAAGTTGAAATACTACGAGAAGAAAGTAAATTCACCATAATTCACCACAATTTTGGGGGCGCCAGCATGGCCATAACTTGTTATGAGGACAAGGAGGTCAGGACCTGGGTCCAATCAATGTATGAAGCACTAGATGGCTTTTACAATGGAGGAAAAAAAACTCTGCAGGTGACCAGAGAGAGAGAGAGAGAGAGAGATAGAGCAGTGTCTGCTGTTGAGTCTCATTGAATGCATCTGTTTCACTGCTCCCAGAGTGTTGCATTTGAGGGAACACACACAGGGACTCTGCAGAGAAAACAGAGCTTATCAAAAGGGCTACACTCGTGTGTTTCACTGCTCGACTGTAGGTTGAAATGCATTTGACTTTAATCCTTTTGTTTCTCCAGCTGTGTGGGAATGTGAGAGTTTCCTTATCACAGAATGGTAAGATGGACTTTTTTTGTTGTTGCAATTTTTAACTTAAAGAGAAAGGGGTGGATCAGAAAAGGGACATTCAAAAACAGCAATGATAATTGTATGTTTTGATATAATCTAAAGGACGAGTGTTAATCAGAGGTATGGTTGACTTACATATGCACTGTATTGTCTCAAGTATTATTACCCAGTTGTCAAAGATCTAATTATGTATTTTTAAACATCAGTTCAATTTTGACATTTGTTAGTGAGCTTTTCAAAGATTTTGATAAGTTCAGGAGTAGTTTAATTGGATTACTGACACATTTTCAATATTACATTTTTTTGTGCATCTATGAGAAAAAAAATTTGCGATACCATAAGCTCAGTACAATATGGTCAATGCAATATAAACAACATGACATGATACGATACCAATGATACGATGCGATATCATACAAATGATAAGACATACAAACAACAATGAAACAATGCAGTGCGATACAAAAAGATGAAAACGAAACAATACGATACAATCGATACAAATGATATGTTAGGATTTGATATGAACGAAACGATGTGATACAAATGGCGAGATAGGATACAAACAAATTGTTATGATACAAACGATAAAAATGATATGATGCAAACAATATGATATGATACAAACGATATGATATGATACAAATGATATGATATGATACAAACGATATGATATGATACAAACGATATGATATGATACAAATTATATGATATGATACAAACGATATGATATGATACAAACGATATGATATGATACAAACGATATGATATGATACAAATTATATGATATGATACAAACGATATGATATGATGCAAATTATATGATATTATACAAATGATATGATACAATACAAATGATACAAACAATACAATATGATACAAACAATATGATACGATACAAACGATACAATATGATACAAACAATATGATACGATACAAACGATACAATATGATACAAACGATACAATATGATACAAACAATATGATATGATACAAACGATACGATATGATACAAACGATATGATATGATACAAAATACAATATGATACAAACGATATATGATACAAATGAAACAATATGATACAAACCTATAAACCTTTTTTTTTATAACGCATCCGTTTAGATTTCATGAACG